CACAAGAGCCAGAGGAGAAGTCACTATGCCCAACAGGGCTGTACATAACGTCTCAGGTTGATGCTGGGAGAACTATCATGTGCCCCCTGCCCAAGCCTCATCCAGAAAAATGACAGCATCCTCTGCTCAGGAGGACCACCCCAGCAGAGCCTCTTCACAGGAGCATGATGATTTAGCGTGACAAGAGTAAACAAAGACAATTGCTTCATTTGGATGAGATCTGCACATGCTCCACTTGCCAGGGACCCGCCCATGGCAACTGGGAGGCTGTGTCCAACTGAGTGTGTAATCACACTGACACTAGCATTTTGCACGCAACAGCCCTGTAGGTGGAGGTTAACCACACTTGCATGGAAGTGATCCCGGAGCCCAGTCAGAGCTGCACAAAGCATGGAGGAAGCCGGTGCTGCCCAGGGCAGCGAGTGGGCGAGGACAGAGGATCTGCAGTGCCCACACTAATGGGCCCCATCTCCAGCCTGCACCTGGGCAGTTCTGGCAGCAGTGGAGAGCCCGTCCCAGCAGCAGCTCCAGCTGCCTTCAGGTTTCCTCCTCACTCTGGAGATAGCGGGAGAGATGTGCCCTCCTCTCCAGGGCTCCTGGAGAAGAAGAGCTGCAGAGGATGGGGACAGACATAGGGGGCTGCAGAGGAGAACAGGGAGTCCACAGGTCGCAAGAGGGTGCTGAACGCCCTGGCTGAAGAACTCAGCTTAAGGAGAAACCTTCAGTGTTGGAACCCTTCATCTTAGGAGGGTCCCAACCTAATCAGGTTTGACCCCCACTTTCCCTTCTCGACATGCTCATCCACCTGCACCCTGAAGGGTGCCACTAACACAGTGATACCGACACCAAGGTCTTCAACTTTCCTGCCAGCATGCTGTCTCCTGCGTGGTAGAACAGGCCAGTCTGCCATACAGTTATGCCAGCAAGCGTCCCTTCTCCAGGACAACCTGCATCCGCACTATCAGTTGCATCAGCAAGTCCTCAATCTTGTGCAAAGCCGAGGACAAAGCTATTAAAACACAAGTACCTTGTGAGGGGCAGCAGTGGCTAGTTAGCTCCCTGCAACTGCTGCAAACCCAAGAGCACTTAGAGGAAAAAGGGGAAGGCTCTGCTCAATCCAGACATGTGCTGTTCTGTGGGTTACACGGGCCATCACCCCTGATCCAGCACCAAAAGACAGCAGAGCATTGCTTGGCACACACTGGGAGCATTGGTTGCACAGGGGCAAAATTCTTGCCCACCAGCCAGGATGCCTGGGTTTGACATCTGCCCAATGCAAAGGAAAGATTTTGGGCCCTTCCAGCTGGCCACCCACTGCTTCAGCTGATAGTCCTCTTGACATTTTTAACATGCTATTGAAAAAGAGACCAAGATTCCCGTCACATGCAGCACTGTTCTTAACAATAAGCAAACAAGATTAGCGCATGAAATGCCTACTCCTCCCCAGAAACTTGCAGCTCATTGCCCAACTGCATTTAATGCTTCAGCCACATTTAAATCCGACCTGAAACCCAGAGAGCTCAGGCAGAGCCACTCCAGTCTACACAACTACTGAAACGTCCCAGGGCGCCTGCCCTGCCCTTCAACCAAGGCTCTCCCTGCTCCCGACAGCTTCTTCCTGCTCCTCATGCGCATTGCAGCCACATCAGACCCACCAGCTGCTTTGTGATACTGTGGGAGATGCTCTAGTGCAGGAGCTGAGGCAGCTGTGCACACAAACACCCACAGCTGGAGCATTGGTGGTTCAGTGGTAGAATTCTCGCCTGCCACGCGGGAGGCCCGGGTTCGATTCCCGGCCAATGCAAGAGCATAATCTTTTCCTTTTTTTGGGGCCTCTGTACAAGAAGCATGCACGTAAGTCATACAAATTTAGCCTAAACAGGGATCATGTTAATCCCCAATGAAGGCACAAAAGCTTCCAACATCTAACTCTATAAATGTCTTGCTTTGACACTACACTTAATTCAGGCAACTTTGACATGCAGTATTTCACCTAGCAGCACTCTTGAATTCACAGACACTCCTCATGCGTTAAAACCTGTACTGCTAGGCCTAGCCCCAGCCACACAGAGCCAGAAAGCTGCAGAGACACTGAAAAATATTGCACTGTCCTCTCCTAGATGGGCGTCACTAGCCAGTCACCCACTTTGTAGCCCAGGAAGATCATTACAGAACAGGTTTACGAAATTTTTTCCCCGCAGGATTAAGACTAGCTCCGTTCTCACCTTGCTTTGAGCAAAGCCGTTGCCCTCTTTCTCCTTTAGGGTATCATGAAGTCTCCCCCTCACGCTTCCCCACCCAGAAGTTGAGTTTTACAATAGCCCCAGACTGAACCACTCTCACAATCTGCTGTCTTAGGGCAAACAGCTTTGATTTCCAGTCCTACCCTGACACATGCTGAGCTCCAGCAGCACAGACCACCAAGACAATCCTTTAACAATCTGGAATTAATGAACACAGTATTTTCTTTTCTTTGAACAAGAACAACTTTATGTACTTTCCTCACAGTGTAAAGGGTAAGGGAAAACCTAACCAGCAAGGCAAAAAGTACCCAACAGCAATGTACCATGTCAGAGTCTGCATTTAGTAGGAGCTGCTCGCACAGCGCTGCTCAGAGGACTAGGAAGGTACCTTAGCTAAGTGGGAGCAAATTCTCCCTCACTCGATGCAGTAGACATAGGAGCAACATTTATGGGGCTGTTCTGTGACTGGTTTAAGCTGATCTAAATCTGTGCAGCTGTGGAAACGGTTGGTCCTCCTCATACCCTTCTCAAACTGGGTTTTCAGCTGGATTGGCTGAATTAGCTGGTCCCAAAAGACAGGACAGCACTGCCACAAAACAGTAAGTACTAGTGAAGAGGCTGTGGGAGGCAGGACTACGCACATCAACAGAGATTTTGGTTGGCTTAAGCTCATCATGAAACCATCACTCTGGGGCAAAATAAGTCAGAGTAGAGCTGCTTGGATAAAATTAGCACAGCAGTACCATCCTGAGCAGCAGCAAAAGGGCAGTTACTGAAGTATCCCTGGGGCCTGAACTGCTGGGACAGTGCAGCACATTTACCACAACTCATCCTGAGGGAACCATTCCTGTGTGGGAGGGAGAAAAACAGGAGAAAATAAATATGCAGAAATAGAACAAGGGGCTGAAGGAGATAGATTAGTACCTGAGCAAATGCTTACCCCATCCTCAAGAGCCATTTTTCTCTGCTGCCGTGACCCACCCTCCATTGAGAGACCCTCTACATTAGAGGCACACCACTGACACCTTGCATCTCTCCCACGTTTCCCATCAAAGTCTCCGTAAAGCGGCTCTATCGTCATCTCAATCACTTTTCCAGGTGGAGGCTGCTCTGAAGAGTTGGCCTCTCTCCTCAAAGCTCTCTCAATAGCTGCATCTCCCACGGGAAGTTCAACTACAGGTTCAGATCATCGTTCCAGCCCCACACAGGGCTGTCCCTAGAGTAGACGTTTTGGATCTCCTAGATGTACCGAGCTCCCAGGTGTAGCCAGAAGGAGATACAGTACTTTACAGGCAAAGCCATGGACCGAAACAGCACAGGGCACCCAGCCCAACACAGTGAGAAGTGCGGCTGTAAGACAAGTGAGGAATGCAGACTGATAACACTAGAGGGGGCACAGCAAAGCCAGCAGACTCCTGCAGACCTTTCCTCCCGTGCTTTGAAAGGAAGGCCTAAGTGAGATCAAAACAAAGATGACACAGGAAGAACTAAAGGAAATGCCCAAAGGCCAGAGGTGACGGGAGGAGCTTTCCACCTCTGCAGCTCAGAATGAACACAGGAGGGTTCAGGCCAGCTCAAGCAGACCCTAGACCGCAGAGCGGAGATTACATCTCACCGTCCTGCAAGCAGGGTGATGAACCGGGTATGTTCACAGGTCAGTCGCATTAACACGGCTCTGCACGCTGACAAGAGAAGGGCTCTGCACGGGCACCGCTGCTCTAGTGCCAACCTGCTGCCCCTGCCAATGATCCTCCCTGCAGCACCGTGAGACCCCAGTGTGCCCCAGCCATCGTCCAGGGCCGCGGCGGGCACCGAGCTGGCTACCCGTGGGTGCCTCAACACGTAGCAGAAGAGCTAACTCTGCATTTCTGAAGCTTTGACAGGTTTCTAAAGTTACACTGCTCACGTGTTTCTTCCGCACGATGCTTTAGCTATGTTGCACAACACAGCGAGGGACTTCTGGTCAGAAAAGGCCTTTTGCAACGGGTTCACTCAAACAACTCCTTTCCCCAGGACATGTTGTCCAAAGTGGCGCATCTCCCGTTGCACCCAGAAACCAACGGGCTCGGACAGAAACTTAACCCGGCGGCGCAGGGATGGGGAGGCACCGCACAGCTTTGGGGCAGAGCCCTTCCCACCCGGCCGCCA